GCTATAGCGATAGCAAAACAGTCACTGTCCTACGGATTCGTCATGCAGCGGAGTCATCGTCTAGCGAGGTACCACTGTAATAGAAAAAGGAACTAGAACAACTAAGGTCTGTATAGGGTGATTCACCTTTAAATAGATGGGGCCTTCCCATATTAGTCTGAGTAGAATCAGGATATCTTTTTAATCACAGAGTACATGGTGGCGCTGTGGACTAAACTGCAGAAGCCTGTTCTGCAGGGTCAGAAGACCAGCAGTTGTAAGATCGAATCTGTGCGACGGAGTGAGCTCCCGTGCTTTGTCCCAGCTCCTCGGCAACCTAGCAGTTCGAAAGCATGCAAATGCGAGGAACCACCTCATGGGAAGGTAAAACGGCGTTCCCTAGTCACACTGGCCATGTGGCAACAGAAACTGTCTTCCGACAAGCGCTGGCTCTACGGCTTGAAAATGGGATGAGCACCGCCCCCTAGAGTCAGACACGACTGGACTAAAAATGTCAAGGGGAACCTTTACCTTTTTACTAGTTCATTGTCTCGGACTGATTGATTGTGGAGGGTCTGTCTTGAGTTCTGTAGGAAAAATACTGTTTTATTCATTGCTATTTGAAGTCTTCACACACCAAAGAGCAAGAATAAAAATAAGTCCCCAAGTGAGTTTCTGATTAAAACAGTGCTGTATATTATTGCTAGCTGAGTATTTTCCTACATGACTGTGACGTTTGCCCCTCGTGGCCCCTGTTTGTCTTCCAAACACAGAGCACATGTAGACAAACCAAAGAAAAACACCTTTTGACATGCTGCCACCAGTTGATCACTAAATCAACTTACTTAGGAAAGATGAAGGTCCATTCAGTTTTCACTTTTTATTAAAACAGGTTTATTAATTACAGATGTTTCTTTAATAATTCTTAAGTATTTACTTCAGGTTCATAAGCTTCAATCTATCTAAATCTATCAGGTTACTATTCACTCCTCAGACTAATCACACCTCAGATCTCCCAACTATCTCTCTCTCTCTCTCTCTCCCCCTCCCTAACTCTGACTGACCTCTACTCCCCCTTCTCCTCTCAGGCTCCACCTTTTTAACCTCTGGTGGCCCCACCTCTCAACCACATCAGCATATAACATGAATGATGCATGAATTATTTTGCATAACAAGGGGTGAACGCTACAACAACCAACAATTATTCCACAATTTCATACGTACTTTGAAAAAATACTTTGTTTTGATAGCAGCAATTATTTTTGTCTTCCTGCTCAAAATCCTATGTGTGAAAGTTGAAGAGAGATAAATGCATTGCTCTTGTGTTAATTGGCTTGCTGTCTGCATAATTACGTTGTAAACTGCCCAGAGAGTTTACAGTATTGCCTTTATTTTTTTAACCTTATTATGTTTTTCTTGATAAATCAGAGAAATAAAAAATGTTTCCAGAAGCAGTTACACCAATAGGTAATTAAAGGTTGACATTCAAGAATACTGTAATTAACATACCCCTTTTGAAAGAAATTCTACCAGCTACTGTGGATTTAAATAAACTTTAAAGAGTTATTAAGCATGCCCACAGAAGTTAGTCTGCTTATTGTTCATGATGTGAGTAGACATAAAAGAGAGGGATAAGAGTCAAGCATAATGAAAGTGTAAATGTTTTAAGATTCGTATTATTCACTTCCTCACTAGCTCCTCTTCAGGAAGAAGTTTGTATGGTGTTTTTTTAATTTCTACAAAAATGGCCAGCTTTTGGGAAGGTCAGGAAGTTTTATACATTATTACAGAATCATTCTGCAAGATCATGTAGTGACTGAATACAGGAATTATGATTTGTTTTTGTATAATGTTTGAAGAAGTAAAAGACATGCTAGAAAAACTGATGATTTTATATACCCCTTAAAGATATATAACCCACAAAGCAGTGTTGTTAGTGAAAAATCTACATGCAAAACTTTAAAAAGCATCTCATTTCAAGTACCAGTTGCCAAACTGTGGGTATGCCCCTTGATGAGTGTGAAGAAATTCTAAGGGGCACAAGAGTAAGTTTGTTTTTAAATTAAAATAAAATAAAAGTTAGTGTAAAGAAATGTTTTACAGTGGTGCCTCGACTTACGAACTTAATTGGTTCTGGGACTCCTGTTGTAACTCGAAATACGTAGTTGTAAGTCGAAGCACCATTTCCCATAGGAATGCATTGAAATGCAATTAATCCATTGCGGCTGAAGAAAAAAAATCACCAAAAAACCACAAACACAAACAAACTGCAAGATCCTTCGGAAATGCAAAAAAAGCAAAGCAGAAAGCAAACAAACTGCAAGATCCTTCGGAAATGCAAAAAAAGCACAGCAGAAAGCAAACAAACCCTGCAAGACCCATCAGAAATGGATAACCCCCCCCTAAAAAACAAACAAATCCTGCAAGATCCATCGGAAATGGGGGGGGACCCAAAAAGCAAACAAACCCTGCAAGACCCATCGGAAATGGATAAAAAAACCCCAAAAAACAAACCCTGCAAGACTAATCGGAAATGGGAAAAAACCACCACCACCATAAAAATCCTGCAAGACCCATCGTAAATGGGGGGAAAAAGCACCAAAAAACCCAAACAATCCCTGCGAGACCCATCACAGCATAGAAACATAATCCCACCACCACCCAGCCCAAAACCGCACTGCAAAACCCACCCAGAACAGTTTTTTACAAGTAGAAAGCAGCACCTTACCAGGCTGTCCGAAGCCTCCTCCAATCGCACTCACTCTAACTGTTGGGGCAAAAGAGCTACAAAGAAGCAGCCTCTTTGCCACCAACGGTTAGCAATTTAAATTCCCTGCCTTTTTTCCCTGCCTTTTTCTGTTGGTAACTGGAAGCTCTGGTGGCAAGTAGAAGCAAAATTTTGTGGCTGGAGCAAAATTGTGGACGTGGCAAAATGTCTTCATAGAAGTATTCTATGAAGTAAGCAGTTTACAGTGTGTAGGATCTGCACTGTATCAGCAGTGTGTAGGCAGCAAGTGTCATATGTGATTAGCACACACAATAGTCTGTTATGTGGCTTTCTTTGTAGACATGGTTTCTCTGTAGGTAATTCATTGGCCAAACTCCTGTTGTTTGGCATAGTAAATTGTACTAGAGTAGAACCATTGGATTGCCTGTTGGGTTGTTCAAGCCACATATGTGATTAATTAAGTTTTCGGACAGAATGGGGATTGAGAGAGTCAACTCCACTGCAACTTCCATTGGGTCTACTGTACCTTACTGTGTATACAACCCCCCAGTGTATAAAATGACCCCCTAATTTTGACCCTTGATGAAGGTGGAGGAGCAGTTAATGGGCAACTTCTCCACCTTCGTCTCCCCTGCTGCTACTGCCTCCCCCGCCCAATCACCTCATCCATTGTGACTGCTAGGGCTCACCTCCAGTTCACGTCGTCGCTGCCTTGTCCCGTGCCCGAAGGGAGTGCTGGAGGAAGTGATACGAGAGCAGCAGCAAGAGGTGCTCGAGCACGTGTGAGTGCTCCTTTGCATCCACTTGCTGCTGCCACCTCTGGAGGGGACAAGGCTTAGGGAACAAGGTGAGGATGACGTGAGCTGGAGGTGAGTCCGAGCAGTGGCATCGGAGGGTAGTGGCGGCGGCGGCAGGAAGAGGCAACTGAGTACACGCGAGTGCTTCTTTGCCTCGCCCTCTTTCTGTGTATAAAACGACCTTCAATTTTTCATCTAATTATTTTAGGAAAAAGTTTTGTTTTATACACAGAAAAATACAGTGATCTGTGACTTCAGCATTACACGCGAGTGCTTCTTTGCCTCGCCCTCTTTCTGTGTATAAAACGACCTTCAATTTTTCATCTAATTATTTTAGGAAAAAGTTTTGTTTTATACACAGAAAAATACAGTGATCTGTGTGCACCATAAAGAAGGCTGACTGCTGAAGAATTCATGCTTTTGAATTGTGGTGCTGGAGGAGACTCTTGAGAGGCCCCTGGACTGCAAGGAGAACAAACCTATCTATTCTAAAGGAAATCAAGCCTGAGTGCTCACTGGAAGGACAGATCCTGAAGCTGAGGCTCCAATACTTTGGCCATCTCATGAGAAGACTTCCTGGAAAAGATGCCAATGTTAGGAAAGTGTGAAGGCAGGAGGAGAAGGGGACGACAGAGGACGAGATGGTTGGACAGTGTCATCGAAGCGACCAACATGAATTTGACCCAACTCCGGGAGGCAGTGGAAGACAGGAGGGCCTGCTGTGTTCTGGTTCATGGGGTCACGAAGAATTAACAACGACAAGTTTAGACCCATTTGAATCAGTGGAATTTATGGAAGTGGTGATTCACTAAATCCCCTTTGATTTGGGGGGGCAACTTTAGTGTGATCTATGCCAAGCAGCAGGACTTTGGCCACTTAATTTTAAGCATCCTTCACTTAAGTTCACTCATGGCTTTATTACTTTACCTCAAATACATGTACATTTTTGTGTGTGACAGCCTGAGATTCTCTAGTAGTAGCACATACCAAAGCAAAGCATTCAGCATTATGAATCTTTTTGCTTTTCAATCATATCTTTTGATAGATTCACAATTTAGATTTTTTAAAAGGTTATGTTAATATTGCAATCCATGCATGTTTGCTCACAAGTAGGGATGAATGAATGCTTTTGAACAAGTGCCTTCTACTCAACATCTGCATTTTACATATTTCATATGCACAAAAATCTTATGCTGTATTGTACAAAATTTCCTGTAATTTGCATTTTTTCACACAGTTTTCCTGATCATACACATTTTGTATGCAAGTCTTGGTCTGAGTATTAAACTGCAAAATTTCAGTCAGTGACGAAAACTGAACGATAATTGTATATTTATTTGGAAACATTAATTAGAAAATGTGACTCAAACATATTTTCCCCTCATTCCTACGCAGGAATAAATGACTCTTGCGTCCAAAAGGATTTTTAGTACTGGTGTGTATGAAATCACATCATTTCTATAAGATTAATATGTATTTATTTCTTCCTAATGCAGATGAAAAAACAAGAACCCTGCAATTTGAAGTCTAATCTCTACATATTCGTCTGGGGAATAATTCATATTTTCATCTGGTGGTGGCTGGCAGAGTTGATGATTCATTGTATGTACATGCATGCCATCTGCAGTAGCCCCTCACTTCTGGGAACAGTAACACATTGGACCCTAGGTATGCATAAATGATTGTCAGATAATAGAAACCTCCAGCCCATTTCAATTTGTCACCTGAACTTTAGAGAATGACAGGGCAGGAATTGACTTTTGACTAAGGTTGCTTGTGAAACAATCATGCATTTTAATTTTTCATAACTGGGTGTGGGTCAGCAGCTGATGTGCTATGTTGATATCTTATTCATGAATTTTCGCCATTTTGGCAAAGAGAAGAGAGAGCATCAGATGGCTTTAGGGAATGGTCCAAAGGCAGTAATGAGTTTCAGTCTGTTGAAGCTGGAGCTGGTGATACCAAATGTGTGCCACTTGGTTGGCCAATTGTACCGTTCCTAGGAGAATAAATATTTGATGCATACAAATATATTCTCTGATGAAAACATGATTTAGTGATGATTTTAAATGTGCTTTTAGAGAAATTTTCTTCTTTCATGTTGCTGTTTGTGGCAGTAGTGGTGACAATGACAGTGATGTATGTTTTGTATTATTCCCCTAAATGGGATCTTAAATTGTTTGGATTCAGCAACTTGCAGAATACACAACAGGACAATGAGTCTTCTGGCTGTATTCGCTCTAGTTGTATGATAAGTACAGCGGTGCCTCACCTTATGAATGTCTTGACTTGCGACCAATTCGAGTTACGACCAGCTCCGGTCACAAAATTTTGCTTTGACTTGCGACTGGAGCTTTGAGATGAGACCAGAAAAAAGGTGGGAAATTTAAACAGCTAACCGTTGGTCGGAGAAAAGGGTGCTTCTCTGTAGCTCTTTCACTCCAGTGGTTAGAGAGTGTGCATTTGGAGGAGGCTTTGGACTGCCTAGTACTGCTTTCTGCTTTTTAAAATGCCTGTTCTGAGTGAGTCCAGAGTTTTGCAGTGTGGGTTTAGATTGAGAAGGGGTAATGTTTCTTTACTTACTTTACTTTTACCTTTATTAGATTTTTACCCCACCCCCCTAGGTAGAGTCTACATCTGTGCTGTGATGGGTCTTTCAGGGTTTGTTTTTTTCTCGGTGTGTTTTTTTTCCTGGCCGGAACGGATTAATCATGTTTCCGATGGGTCTTTCAGTGTTTGTTTGTTTTTCAGTGTTTTTTTTCTGGCTGGAATGGATTAATTCCATTTCCAGTGGATCTTGCAGTGTTTGTTTGTTTTTTGGTGTGTCCCCCCCCTGCTGGAATGGATTAATTGTGTTTCCGATGGGTTTTGCAGCGGGTTTTTTTGTGGGTTTTTTTCATCTGCTTTTTAAAATGCCTGTTCTGAGTGGGTACAGGGTTTTGCAGTGTGGGTTTGGACTGAGAAGGGGTAATGTTTCTTTACTTTTACTTTTATTAGATTTTTACCCCACCCCCCTAGATAGAGTCTACATCTGTGCTGTGATGGGTCTTTCAGGGTTTGTTTTTTTCTCGGTGTGTTTTTTTTCCTGGCCGGAACGGATTAATCATGTTTCCGATGGGTCTTTCAGTGTTTGTTTGTTTTTCAGTGTTTTTTTTCTGGCTGGAATGGATTAATTCCATTTCCAGTGGATCTTGCAGTGTTTGTTTGTTTTTTGGTGTGTCCCCCCCCTGCTGGAATGGATTAATTGTGTTTCCGATGGGTTTTGCAGCGGGTTTTTTTGTGGGTTTTTTTCACCGGCTGGAACGGATTAATGGGGTTTCAATGTATTCCTATGGGAAATGGTGCTTTGAGTTATGACCAACTTGGGTTATGACCATTTTCCGGAACCGGAGTTTTCAACTCAAGGCACCACTGTACCTGTTACTGCATAAAGATGTGGCTGAAGACTGGAAGAGTCCTGACCTCTGGCCAGAGCTAGGAGAAGTTTTCTTTTTGGATGTAGCTCCTAGAATTCTCCAGCCAATATGCTCAGTAGACATGCTGGGTAGAAGACTCTAAGAAATGTAGTTCTCTAAGTTCTGGCTGTGGGCTACATCCCTTCATCATAACTGAACAAAATGTTTATTCTGCTAACGTTTACCCTATTTGGTTGTTGTAGGTTTTTCAGGCTATTTGGCTGTGTTCTGAAGGTTTTTCTTCCTAACGTTTCGCCAGTCTCTATGGCCAGCATCTTCAGAGGACAGGAGTAAAAAAAAAACTCTGTCTGTGCTCTGGTGCAGTCTGTGGGATAGTTGAGTATTTATAGATATGGGATCGGTTTTTTGTCTTTTTCAGGAGATTGGGTGATTATGGTGATCACCGTGGTTTTTTTTGGTTGTTGTACTGCACCAGTGGACAGAGTTCTGACTCCTTTCTCTAAGTTCTGGCTGTGGGCTACATCCCTTCATCATAACTGAACAAAATGTTTATTCTGCTAACGTTTACCCTATTTGGTTGTTGTAGGTTTTTCGGGCTGTTTGGCTGAATTCTGAAGGTTTTTCTTCCTAACATTTCGCCAGTCTCTATGGCCGGCATCTTCAGAGGACAGGAGTAAAAAAAAAACTCTGTCTGTGCTCTGGTGCAGTCTGTGGGATAGTTGAGTATTTATAGATATGGGATCGGTTTTTTGTCTTTTTCAGGAGATTGGGTGATTATGGTGATCACCGTGGTTTTTTTTGGTTGTTGTACTGCACCAGTGGACAGAGTTCTGACTCCTGTCCTCTGAAGATGCTGGCCACAGAGACTGGTGAAATGTTAGGAAGAACAACCTTCAAACCACGGCTAAACTGCCTGAAAAACCTACAGCAGCCATTGGATCCCGGCCATGAAAGGCTTCGAGAATGCATTTACTCTCTTTCCCAATTCTGGCCAAATTTACTTACAGTCTTGGCGATAAAAGAAAAAGTCAGTCATTGGTTGAAGTTACTTGATGTGAACACTACCACGATTTTTATGAAATATACAAACAACATGGCTTCCTAAAATCATGGCAAGCTCTGTATGTGTGCCTCAACTCCTTATGTGTTGTGGGAAATCATTATTGTGCTAAAATATTTGCCCTCAAAAACAAAAACTGACAAACAGAATAACTTGTTGTCTTTGAGCACAATCTTAACTAGCCAAGATGGCGGGTGGGTGGCTGAATCCAAACCTCTTCCAGCCATTTGCTTTTTTCACTCCCATATCACACATGATTAGCATGCTGTCTGCTCAGAACCCTAAATTTTTTCACATATATTGTTGCCAAGCCAGCTGCTACCCACCTTATATTTATGCATCTGATTTTTCCTGCCTAAGTGTAGAGCTTTACATATTCCATTGTTCAAACTCATTTTGTTCGTTTTGGCCCAGTTCTCCAATCTGTCAAGTTTATCTTGAATCCTGATTCTGTCTTCTGAAGTACAGTATTAGGTACCCCTCCATGTTTAATGTCATCTGCAGATTTCATGAACATCCCCTCCACACCTCATCCAAGTTGTTTATAGAGATGTCAAGTGTCATTGATGATTGATAGCTGCCTGGAACTTTTATGTCCACATTTTTGAAGGTGGGGACGATAGTTTCCTTCTTCCTGTCTTCAAGGACATCACCTCTTCCCCAATAATTCTGGAAGGTTCTTTTAATGCCCCTGAATGAAATGTATATTCTCCTGGAGATCTGAATTCATTCAAAGTAGTTAGATGTTTCCATACTACCTCTTTATGTATCTTGAGCGGCAGACCATTCTACCTGTACTGGATTGAATACTTTTTTCTTTCTGAGAGAAGAAAGAGGCAAAGTAGGTCTTCAGCTGTTCTGCCATCTCTTGGTCAACTGTTAATGCTTTCCATCCTCCATCCAGTGGACCTAAAGTATCCTTCCTCTTGATTTAAACATAGTGAAAAACCATGTTTTGTTCTTTATAACCTCTCTTACACATCTAAGCTCATTTTGAGCTTTATCCTTCCTAACTCTATTGCTACTGATATTTTCTATTTACTTGTAGTCTTCCTGGGTAACTTGCAGTCCTTCCATTACCTGTACATTTTCCTTTCAAATCTTAGCTCATGTGAAAACTCCTTGCAGCCACCCCAGTTTCTTTAGTTGTTTCCCTGTGTTCATATAGAGATTGTTTGTGATTGTGTCTTTGGTAAGTAGCTCCTATGTAGCATGGATTCCCTTGTCTTTGAATATTTCTGACCACAGGAGATAATTCAATATTTCTTTAAGCTTATTGAAAACAGATTTCCTAAGATCCAGAGTAGCACCTTGTGCTATTCTCAACTTTCCCATTTCTTACTATAGCAAATTCCCAGTGTGTATGGTTACTTCTATGCAAAGTTAACACTGTTTCCACCTCACTAACAAGTTATTCCCTGTTAGTTAGGATCAGATCCAGTGACATTTCTGTTAGAGTGTGTATGGTTACTTCTATGCAAAGTTACCACTGTTTCCACCTCATTAACAAGTTATTACCTGTTAGTTAGGGTCAGATCTAGTGATATTTCTGTTAGTTCTTCCACCTTTTGGAAGAAGAAGTTGTCAGCAAAGCAAATAAGAAATTTACAGTATTGGCAGAGTTGGGTTGGATTTACAACATATATCAGGATAGCTGAACTTTCCCATTAATGTTATGTCTTATGTCCCACTAATGATAGAATACCTTGCCTCATGAGATATCTCAGGTCTTCATTCTTACTGTTTTGGCCACCTGAGCAAAGTTGAAATTTTCTGATCCTGAAAACATTTCTGTTGTATAGCAGATCATGTTGTACAGAAGACCATCCTTTTGCATGCTTTCATCTTCTGAGTCTGTTTGAGTTTGGGGCCTACGTGTTATGAGCTGCAATGTTCCATGGCAGATGACATTACGTTTCTAAAATGGAGAAAAGTATGTACTGCAGAATAAAAGTCAAATGACTGTAAATATTATTAGCCTACCTATCTTAGAATATCTGTACAGTATTTATGTTCTTGGTATTTTCCAATCTCTCTCAGTCTCTCTGTCTCTCTTCTGCTTTCTGCATGTGTATCTGCATGTATGTGTATATCAGGGCAGATCACAAATTTCATGGATTTTGCAGGCATACAACAACAAAACAAAACTAGCAGTATTTGCTCCATCCAGAACCCAGGAAACAAATAACTAC